GAGTACCAAGAAGGCGAGGACCCAGACTACGTCGAACTAGAAGGAGATTACAACGAAGGCAAGTCCTAACTCCCCCTTCCCCACTAATATATTTGTTACCTCCACCATAAAACCAGCTGCCATCCATTTCCTCTAATCAAACAATAAACTCAATTTATAGTCTCTTTACTTGAATGAATTGTGATATACATACATAGTGGTAAAGAGCCATTATTACTAGTCTAGTCACCTTCATCACATTGTGAGCATAATAATTAGCATGACCGCCATGTTGCATGTTTAGATCAAGTCCTCTCTCTTTGGCCTTAAGGCCACGGTCTTGTACTACTTTGTACAATTTCTCCTTCTATCTTAATTGAAATGTAGAACTCCTGCCATTTATGTTAAAAAATGTTCAGATCAAGTCCTGTCGAAAATTTCATGTGTAGAGAAAATTGGAAAAATGTATGTATGTATGTATGTATGTATGTATGTATGTATGTATGTATGTATGTATGTATGTATGTATGTATGTTAGCACTTCTTGGAAATATTATTAGTAGACGTTAATTGGGACGGCTACAGTCGCTGCAGCTTAGGCCCGACACGTACGGCAGACCACAAAGTGTGGAAGAGTTCTAGCTAGACGGAGCATGGAAATAAAACTTCTTACCTTTTGTTCACCTGTGATTGTTACAGAGATCCTTTTAGTTATGCGTTCGTCTATCTATCGCCGTGCTACTCGGATCATGTCTGATAGATAGATGTCTCTACCTCTGAAAAACCTCCACTAACAAGGGGAGACACCAAAGCAGCAAGTGAGAGTATGTGGGAGTTCCTGCGGACAAGCTTTATTTTGCTAATTCAGGAGAGACGAATTGGCTCGCCGGGCCTGGCAAGGTCCTCGTTGCCCGTGCCATCAGGCTAGGCTAGGCGAGGCCAGCCTGGGAACCAAACAACAAGCTACTTCGCTTTCGGAGGCATCGTGTCTCAGGAGTGGATCTTGGTGCATGCTAGATGAGCGCTGGTTGGGGAGGACGAGCCGTCGGCCGAACGCTGGTTGGGGATGATGATGCGTGAGCTTTTGACTGCGGAGAAGCCAACGGCGGACGAGTGCTTGGAACGAAACCATCGCGCACTTCTAAGTAGTGTAGAAGACGAATGGAACGGTCCAAGGTGTATCTAAAAATTATTATTGTACCATTGATCTAGAATTTAGAAATGAGGGAGTAGCAACTTCTGGCGTATTTGGTATAGCCTCACCTTGCCTCGCTCAGGAAGGTTAGGCATGCCAGCACCAGTGGACGATACCGGCTTGCAGCAGGCTAGCTAGAAAGATATTGGAAAGTGCAGAAACCAAGGTAGCGAGCAAGACAACCAATGCCTTGATCTTCCTTGTCCAGACAGGCAAAGCAAGCATCGGCAAGAGAACGAACCAAACGCGCCCTTGTATGCTAGTCCGTGCAACTGCTTGCGCGGGTTGAGTACTAGTAGCTTTAACTTAGCAATAGTAATTGAGTTCACTTCTCCGTTTTTTCTGGCCTCCAGAGTGGGATTATTTGATTGAAATTTCAGCAGCCGCTTCTTCGAAGGTGCAGTTAACGGCTAAAACTCCCCATGCTGCAGCGGGCTCCATACATGATAGGCACCGGCAGCATGTTTGAAGAGAAGGGTGAGGTTCTTGCCATGTTTGAAGAGAAGGGTGAGGTTCTTGTGTGGAAATGGCAATGCCACGGCACGGCCAGCCTGCGTGGCATTTTATTTTTACGCAGCAGCTAGGGTAGTCGATATACGAGGAAAATCATGCATGATGTTCCTTCATTATCGTCATTCACGATAGCCGGTGAATTGACCATACACTATTGGAAACTAGATTTTTTCTGTATGCCCTATAATTTCTGCCGGTTACACAAAAACTCACAGGAAAAATATAATTTATCCTGTCGGTTCCGCAAACCCACAGGAAAATACATATAACCCTATCGGTTAAGATGATACGCACAGGGAAATTAGCTCATAGGATAATTACCTACAATTTCCTGTAAGTTATGTAATTTTCCTGTCATATATATGCACACAGGGTAATTTAGGACCAAAAGCGCGCCAATTTTCCAACCTATTTCGCGCTTTCGCAGGCATATGTTGGCGCCTATGCCACGGAATGGATTTTGATAAAAAAAAACTCATCAAACCTTATCCTTATCCCCTAGCTAGCGCCCTCACGCACGGGTGCCCACCCCCACCAGACGCGCCGTCCGTCCACCTCCACCACCCAGCTCGGCCGGTGGCCCGCCCGCCTCCAGCCAGGAGCCGACGGCCTGTCCGCCCGACTTGGCTGGCCACCCGTTCGCCACAAACCAGGCGCCGGCGTCCCGGCCGTCCATTTCCCTCCAACCAGCAGCAGGCGCCCTTGCCGCCCGTCCGCCTCCTGCTCGGCTGATTGCCCGTCCGCCTCTAGCGCCAGTCGGCGTCCATCTCCACGCTGAAGGCCGCCGCCCGTCTGCCTGCAGCATCGCCTAGATCGACGCCCGTCCGCCCCGAGCCAGCCGCCCACCTCCACGCAGCAAGTCGCCACCACGCCGATGCCCACATCAATGTTGCCACTTGCCTGATCCAAGCCTCCGGCGCATCTAAGGTTTGGCTCGGATCCACTGCACCACTTGCAATATCCTGCAGTCTTTCCTCCATCTAATGTCATGTGAATCTATAAGTAATTGCATGGCGTGAGCCCTTCCTTGAGCCCTTTCCCTTTTTTATGTGGAATGTGATGGATTGTGTGGTGGTCATCGTAGGTAGCATCTTCGATCACCGGATCCGTCACTTTCCACAAGAATCTGCTATGCCACTGTCTTGATTGAAGAGGTCTGTTACCTTCAGTCACATTTTGCTGTGCCACACATCAGAAATTGAGAAGCACCAGAGAGGTTCACTTGTAGACTTAAATTTACTGACGTTCCTTTCATGATTGGTATTGCTAATTTTATTCATAAGCGATGTTTCTTTCACTGTTGTTTCTACAGCCAACAGCAGCAATAGAAGCACCCATAGTCATCTTCAGTTGCCCTTTTGCTTCAAGGTACAACTATTTCTTTTCACTCTATTTAGTAATCTGCGCTCCAACTAATAGAGATGCATGGTTGTTATGTTATGTTTGCCATTGTATTCTGTTTTGCTTTGCTGTTATGTGGTTGTATCGGTTTAGATTTGTTAACTTTGGTAGGCAAATGTCTTGGTTCTAGAATATAATGATAGGATCTCTTTGAAGTCGTACAATGCAAGCTTCTTTTTTGTTTGAAACAATGTGACATAGCCAACATGCATGGTATGAATTAGTAATTATTTTTTTCATATTTGAAAACACAAAGATAATTGAAATGACACGCACATGGATGTATAGTGGTTGGCAGTGTGGGAAAGCTCCATCTAGTGAATGGACTGAACAAACTACTGAATTCCTGGATAATGCATTCTCTTTATTAGGTGTGGTTGAGAATAATGTGACCATTAAGTGTCCTTGTGCCATGTATCGAAACTATTTTAAGCTGAAAAGGCATACTATTGAGCTCCACTTGTGTAAATATGGTTTTAAAGAAGGCTACGAAATTTGGACAGAGCACGGCGAGAGCCATGTTAGTATGATGATTATTGCCCAACAGCTAATAATGAGGGTTTCAATGAAGTTCATAGCCCAGCCGCTAATAATGAGGGTGATGAGGCTCTGGATGGCATTGCCCAACATGGAAGGTGAAGACATGGACGACGACATAATAGTGATGAAGCTCTAGATGGCATTGCCTGCACTGAGGACAGGGATGAGGACGAGGAAATGGATGACGATGATGACAATGCAAACGTCGGCAGCAACATTGGTGGCATGAATGATGGATCCAACAGCATGGTGAACATGGTAATATGAAGCATGGTTGGTGTTGGCACATATATCGATGGACTGCCCTTTTGTCTTTTGAACATCTAACTGTTAGCTGATTATGATTGGGTTAGGTGTTGAAATAGTATAGCTGATCATGAACAGCATCTTTTGGTAGCATGGAGAACTTGATGACTTTGGTAGTAGAATGTTATAAAGACGTGTGCTGTGAAGGCACACATATATAGCCTGGTGGATGTCCTGTGATGTTGGCTTTGGTGGAACCTTCATCTGCTAGTAATATGAATGTGATGTAGCCTATCTCATTTGAATGCTGGAATGTGGATATGAAATGCCTCTTATTGCCTGGAATGAATGTATTATTTGAATCTGGAACCCATTTTCATTATTGGGCTTGTGATATTATTCTGTCGATCAAGCTCACAGTAAAATTATTAACTTGATGTCTAGTTATTTTCCCTGTGCGCAGAGACACACAGGGAATGTATTTTCCTTGTCGGTTGCAAAATATATCCTTGAGGGTGTTGCCTACAGGAAAATTATTTAACCTGTCGGCTACCAAAGATTTTTCTGAGAGGATCGCGCACAGGAAAAAAACTATGTTCTTGTCGGTCTACTATTTTTTCTGTGCACGATAACCGACAAGGATATTGATTACCCTGTCAGTTTTTGGCGCGTGAATAAACCTGAGCACAAAGATTTCCTTGCACACGGAAATCCCGAGAGGGAAATTAATTTTGACGGTCAACCTACAGGCAAATTTATTTTCCCTGTCATTTTATCCCTGACGGTATTGGCCTGTCGAGTTGCCGACAGGATTAATTTTCCTGACGGTTTTTATTATATCCCTGTCGTGTTTCAATGCACAGGAAAATTAGTGTTTCCAGTAGTGATACTGTAAGAAACTCAGCGGAAACAACAATAGAGAAACCAGATACAGAACAGGCAAATAACCCGAATACATCAAGATGGAGGCTGAGGATCAGGTACTTTTCACAATCTATTCTTTCAATGTTCGCGACTAGTGGCTCAGCATAAATCCAGGGCTAACACGACGCATTCAGCGTTGGTAAGAAATCTTTCATCATTATGATTACAAACATGTAGGCAAAAGATAATGGTGGGCCAGTATTTATCCATCGTATTCCTCATTGGCAAATTTGTCCTCCGCATAGCAAACCGCAACCACGGGGTTCCCACCAAATTTCCTTCCATGCAATGCCGTCTTTGCTTTGGCAGCACCATCAACATCTGCATATTCCAGAAACACATGCAATGGCAAGCCCATGCATCAGAAACAATTCAATACAAATGTTACAATACAGTTTAAACCTCAAATCATAGTAAGGCTCACCTTTCCAACTCCTGCAACTGGCTGTCCACTGGGGTCAGGACGTGGGATCACAACTTTCACCAAATTTCCGGAGGAAAAGATTTTTCTTTGAGTACTGACTACTGTAACTGTACTGACTAATCATCATACCAATTGAATCTGAAACTATTGGAGTCAGAAATGGCATATTGAGAAAAGGAAAAGATGGAGAAGTTAGCTCTAATTCTGCTGGAGATCAACAGTAAGTATTTGCCTGCTTCTAGCCTCATGTCTTCCATAATGTCCTCATACTCTTCATCATCTTTCAATTCATCTGCACTTACCACCTGGGTGAGACAAACAACCTTTGTAGGCAGTGCTCCAACTTGATACACAAGTTTCTGTTCACAAGAGCAACTCTCAGGAACAGAACCCAAGATCGGTAAACGTACAACCTGACTGACATAACAGAACAAAACATTGCCATGGATGATAATTACATAGTTTGGTCTATACCTGTAACTGCACCTGTTGCTGTGCCTGTAATAGGATACTTTCCTGCTCTCCCTGGTTTGCTCGTTTGACAGTAAGGGTTTTGTCCCCCATCTTGATACCATTTAGAGCAGCGCAAGCAATGTCAGTGACATTGAGGTCCTGGTAAACACAGAATGCATAGCCCTTTGAGTTACATGTTTCCCTATCCTTCACAAGATCGAATCCACATAGAGGACCGAATGATTCAAGCAACTCCCGAACTTGAGCTTCAGTGAAGTAATAGGGAAGGCCACCCACAAAAATACGATCTGGACCTTCTAACCCTCCAGCAGATCCTGCTGTTAGGCCAACTGCAGAAAGATTCAGATTGGGGCTTGGCTGGCTTGGGCCCAGTGCAGCAGCCAGAGAAGGGTTATAGTCTGTTGGCCTTCTAACCTTCACTGGGCTATTGCATTGCTTGCTTCCTCGACAGATCTCATTTCCACAAAAGCAAATTTCTTATCATGGTTTATGTAGACATTAAGAACAGCATCGCCTGGACCAGCAGTGTTTCCTCCAATAGCAGCCATGACTTGATTAAAGTAAACTGCCACTGTCTGCAAAAAAGAAAAACCAACTGAACCAACAGTTGCAAGTTATATGCACAAGTGATGTAAATTAACCCAACTTCTAGTATATGGACCTGTTCATTAGCAGATGGAGGAAGGCCACCAACATAAACACGCCGAGCATGACGAGTAGCCTGATAGACAAGGATGTTGGCACATTGTTTATTGAAACCTGAAGCAAATTATCAACAAGAGAACCCCATACCTGTTGAGTCATTGCTTGTGGATGGATGACAAGGGGATTGAACTGATTCAAGAAAACGAATATGGTTACAAAGCAAGAAAAGTCCAGTTCAGAGATTAAAAAGGACTTCTAAATTCCTTCAAAGTTAAAGATACAAAGATACTAAATGAAGGAACAATCACCTGTCCACCAACACCAACACCAAAAGGAAGGAGCATGTTTGGAAACATGCCAGTAAAAGAAGAGCCTGTTATGCCTACAATGTTGCAATAAATTTCAAGTAGGAGGTGTAATTAATTAGCAACTAAGGTATTGCTCCTGAAAAACTGTATAGACCTAGAAGATGGAGGCAGTGGGGCAAGTGACCAAAGATTGCCTTCTTATACCATATACATACACAAAACAAACAAACAACAATAAGAACAGAAGCAGAAAATTTTGCTCAGTTTTCAGTTATTAGATAACGGTAAAACAAAAGGTGAACTTATTTGCACTAGAAGATGTTATCGCACATATAAGATCTCTAGTGGATGCTTAAAGGGTACAGAGAGAAAGCAATCATTTGTTCACACTTTCACTATAGGTGTATCCTTCAGGACAAGTATCTCTCCAAGCACTTTATTCAAGGCTACAATAAATAGTCCCACTTTATCATTTCCTCAAGCTATCACCTTATTCTAGGTGACCATCATTTAGCACTTTTGTATTGGAGTTAGGGGTGCAACTTAAGGTGCTTGGAGGTATGGCATCTCCAAGAAAATGTTCAGCAGACTCTACTGAAGATGCCAATTGCCAAAGATTGCAAAGTTTTATGGTACCCAGCATTATTGGCCTCCTTTGGAACGCAGGAATTTCATAGGAATCTCACATGATTCAGTTTAATTTAATAATTTCACAGGAAAAACGCAGGATTCGGGAAACAATCCCACATTCCAAAGGGAGTATTCACTGATGCAAAGTTCAAAAATTATTACTGGGCTGATGAAATGCTAGGAAATTGTAGTAATGGCAATTGTCATAACAACAGTATAGCAGTGTGATGGAAATGAGTGGTTGGTGAGTAACAACTAAAAATAAACTATACAAAATTGCAGAGATAAAAGTACAAATAGTTAACTGAGTTGATGAGAGCATACTTGGGGTTGGAATAACAGGAAACGTAGAAGCTGCTTGTGGGGGTGGCGCATCGAACCCACTCACTCGCTTGCTGCTTCAACTCAACATAATGGGTATCAGTGAATGATGTGAAACTGAAGTATAAAATGGAAGACCGAATTTTGAATACTACATGAGATGAGTGATTATATCTAACAAAGGCATAGATGCTATCTCTTAGCTAAAGCAATTAGCCGCACTTATTGAAAAATGCATTGTGCATGGCTCAAATAAATTTTGAGGCAATAAGGGGCAAAGGCAAAATACAGGAAAATTTTAAACATAATACATATAGGAAAACACATCGATTTGGCTTTTCTGCATAAGTAGTGGTATAAAGGCCAAAAGGTAACTTCAAGATGGTATAAACAGGTTGTGTGTATAGACATCAATAACTGATTATACACCCATTCAGGACCTTCATTTTCTTACCTTTTTGAACGAGAACGAGATCAAGATCTGCGATCCCTGCCCCTTGATCGAGAACGATGCCTCCTGTGGCCATCTCTTTCGCGGTCTCTTCTCCTGTTAGTTATTATATATACCAGAATTAAAAATTCGATACATAATACAAGCAAACTATAAATGTGAGTCCCTCACTAACAATCTGAAACACTGTCCGGAACATAATTGAGCAAATTTTCATGAAAATCAACAAGAACCAAAATGGCCACTCTTGGGAAAAAGCACTGTTTCTTAAGCATGATAAGGTGCATGTAAACAGAGATACCTTTCAGAATCACGGCCTCTGTGATAATCATGGTTGTCAGGACAGTCTCGGTGTTCCTTCCTATCCCGATGATGTCTGTTGTGGCGATCCCGTTCCCTCTCTCTGTCCCTGTCCCTTCCTTGATCTCTATCCCTGTGATGATCCCTGTCCCTGTCTTTTTCTCTATCCCTGGATTTTGACAACCCATCGTCAGGCGGATGAGTCTCGCCCTATAGATAAAGAGTATAGGACAACATTAGTCTAAATTTATCGACATAGAAAAAAAGATTAGCTAAAAAGAAGAGTATTTCTCTAGATGACAGAATAAATCCAGGAAAAAGGGCGCAGTACACTTGCAGTAAGTCTGCATTATGAATAACCAAGAGTTTGAAAGGCATGTGGCCAGTGTTTCCAAGCACTTGAGGTTTTAGCATCCTCAAGTAGCTTCCCCAGTTGCATCAACTGGGCAGGTCAAGGCTTAAGGAAGTATAGGTTCACAATTAGAGTGTATAACAAAGTTGCACTTCCTTATTCATTTTTTTGAGTTCCGGAGTCGTTTTAACTTTTAGGTGGTATGATGTTGAACAATTAATAACATCAGCACATCGCAAGCCATAAAAAAAAGGGACCCATCAAAACCAATTATTACAAATGTACCAGCAGGGTTCGAAACCCTGCTGCCTTGTCTGTAAGAAAAACAGCAAAAAGCATCATCGCTAAAAACAAATCTGGTCACGCATTTAGCTAGACAGAAAGACGTGAGCAAATTTGCTCCGTGTCGGCCTTCCACCATTGCATTGTTCCACCCAGTGATTAACAGATCCACAAAAGCAAGACCAAACTTAAAAACCTTTTATCTATGCACTAATGCAGCAACCAATTAAGCAACCTACCAGCGCTGCTGACAGCAGCCATGTCAGCAAGCGAACGGATCTGCTGCAGCGATCAGAAAGCAACCAAAGCTCAAAAAGGGGCACCCATGCCGAGTGGAGTACACATCCAGGTCGAAACCACTAAACCACTCCAGGCACCCCGACTAGGTCCACCGTCCACCGCACCCGCACGGATGGATCGAACGGCGCAGGATTCGGCGAGGCTCGAGGCGGCAAGTACAGACGGATCAAAACGAGGGTGGGCACCGTGGCCCCAGGAAATTTCGGCACGGAGATCGGGTTCCCAGCACAGTAAGGAGGGATTAGCGGGGATCACCTCGGGGCGGAGAGCCTCCGCACAATCCTCGCCGCCGCCGCCGCCGCTAGGGTCGTCAGACATCTCAGAAGCCACGCTGCTCCGGCTGGAGGGTTTGGGGGGCTTTCGCTGGCGTCGTCGCGAGTCGCGAGGCCGAGCTTCTTCTGTTCCTTCAATTTTTATGGACCTCTCTCTACCGGAACGCGTCGGCGACCCAATGTCGCTTTCGCCGTGTTTAGTTACAGGAAGTTGAAATTTTAGGTTAATGTAGTACTTTTATTTTTATTTGACAATTAGTGTTTAAACATGGACTAATTAGGCTTAAAATATTCGTCTCGCAATTTCCCACCAAACTGTGCAATTAGTTTTTTTTCGTCTACATTTAATGCTCCATGTACGAGCCGCAAACATTCGATGTGATAGCTACTGTAGCACTTTTTGAGATTTTAGATTGGAACTAAACATGGGCTTATACGTACGGGCCTGCTTGCTTGTAGTTGGACGAAAATCTTTGCTAAAGTCAATGGTCGGTCAATCGCCGCCTGCTTGAAGGAGGTGTCTTCGGTGGTGCCGCCCGCGCGCGCTAAGGCCAATCTCGATGGAGTATTTAATTTTTTATGTTACTAAAATGTCATATCATCTATACTCCCTCCGGTTCTCTAAAGCAAGTCATTTTGGACATCGACACGGTCTTTAAGAAACAACTTTGACCGCTACTTTTTGCTATAAAATATTTATAAAATATAGTCAATATATACTTTTATGAAACTACATTTCGAGATAAATCTACTTACATCACTTTCATATTTTCAAACTCAACCCAAAAGAAATTATTTGTAGTCAAAGTTTAAAATATTTGACTTAAGACAACGTCAAAACGACTTGCTTTAGAGAACCGGAGGGAGTACTGTTTTAAAATGGTGAATGAAACATCTGCAGCCAATGATTGTTTCATTTATTGTTTTATAGGCTAGTCATAACATTTAATACGCGACGCTCATGATTAGCTTGTTGTTGGATGAAATAAAACTTTATGCCCCAATGCTAGTTTCATACGCTTTCCAATTCTTGGAAATGACGTACTCTTATTTCATCTGGATGAAATCAATCTCCCATATTTTATCATTAATTTGATGCTATGTCATAAAAATGCTAACAAGCATAGTATTTAATGAGAATGAAACTCTTCCATCGGTAGTGGCCTAATTAAGCCACCGCCGCCCACCCCCTGGCCCACCTACGGAAATCCGTGTAAACTGCGAATCTGAAAAAAAAACTCAGTTTTCAAACCAGACGTCGAAATGAAATTTCTATTGTTTTACTATGATTTTCGTGACGAGATCTTCGAAACAAGATCATACTTGGATATGTTTGGATAATTTTTATAAGTAGAACATTTTTTCCTGAGGTCGAAACAATTTATTATGAAGCTAGAACAATTGTTCCGGTTCTTAAAAAGTATTCCAAAAAAATAATCCTAAAATTGTCAAGTATGGTCTTGTTTCGAAGCTCACTGTAAGAATAATAAAGGGTGCAATCGGAATTTCATTTAGACACCTGGTTTAAAAACTATGAATTTTTTCACTTCTACTAATCACAGTGGGCATACAACATTGCAAGTCCCCCAGGATATCCCTCGCTTCCTCTCCGCCAACATCTCCTTTGCATCATCTTTCGGACCACAGATAGTACCAAGGATCCATCTCCTTCATTCACTGCTAGAAAACAGACCTTTCATTCCGTCTCTATTTTTATCTTTAGTCCCAGTATTTTTGTGTTCGGAACTAAAGGGACTATTAGTCCCGGTTGTATCCTCAAACAAGGATACAAAGTTTCTGCCCCAAGTGTATGGCGACGGCAGGCAACAATTAGTCCCGGTTATAGCACAGAGCTAGGACTAAAGGTCCTTTAGTCCCGATTGGACCCTCCAACCGGGAATAAATCTTTACTCCCGGTTTGAGGCTCCAGCCGGAACTAAAGGATGACCTTTAGTCCCGGCTCTGGGCTATAACCGGGATAAAATCTTTTTTGATAAAATAATATAGTCACGCTGGACAAAAAAATGAGGCAGCCAGGCATTGAACCCACGACCTCATAGCCAAAGTCCAAACCGCAGCACACTAGCTAGCCATCTGAACTAAGTCACTTTCTCGACAAGAAAGCACCCAAACATTTATTTAATAAGAGAAAAGACCCTTTAATTGATTATATTCTTTTGTTAACTATACTTTGAATTTTCTGGTCCATGTGCTTTCTAGTGCCTGATTGATCTCATAATTTTTATCAGGGTTTCAAATGCCCAGTGTGAAGCCACCACCAAGTTCGAGATTTTTCTGAATTGGTTTGGTAAATTTTTCACTTTAATTGAATTTCCACGTGACTTCACTGATTAATTATACGTTGAACTGAGTCCACCCCCGAAAAGATCTGGAATGGTGCCAAACTTTGCCAAATGGTCTCTTGTGCCCTAAGAGACAAATATTTGTGGAGGTTGATGCAAAATTATATTGTTTTGAATATGTAATTCGCCGTATTTCGTCTCACGCGGCACAAAGAAAAATATAATAATAAAAATAATTATCAGAAAAACCTAAGATCTTGTGTGGGGCCATATTTTGGGTGTAAATGACTGCTAAAAAATTTTAAGCCATTTGGACATAGACGGAGTCGACGTGCTTCACAGGTGTATATATAACATTTCGTCGAACCCAATCTATACACCTAGGTTCTCTGGGATTCTGAGTTCCATGTGCTTTCTAGTGTTGGATTGCGCTGAAACTTTTTCTCAAGACTTCAAATGCCTTATGTGTATCCACCACCAAGTTTGAGATTTTTCTGAGGTGGTTTGGTACTTTTTTCACTTTAATTGAATTTTCGCGTGAATTCACCGATTAATTATACATTGAACTGGGTCCACCCCCTAAATTATCCAGAATGGTGCCAAACTTTGCTAAATGGTCTATGGTTCCCTAGGAGACAAATATTTGTGGAGATTGATGCAAAATTATATTGTTTTCAATATGTAATTCACCGTATTTCGTCTCACGCGGCACAAAGAAAAATGTAATAATAAAAATAATTATCAGAAAAATCTAAGATCTTGTGTGGGGCTATATTTTGGGTGTAAATGACTGCCAAAAAATTTTTAAGCTATTTCGACATAGGTCGACGTGCTTCACAGAGGTATATAGAACCTTTCGTCGAACCCTATCTATACACCTAAGTTCTCTCGGATTCTAAGGTCCATATGCTTTCCAGTGACGGATTGGGCTAAAACTTTTTCTCAAGACTACAAATGCCCTATGTGTAGCCACCACCAAGTTTGAGATTTTTTTAAGGTGGTTTGGTACTTTTTTTAATTTAATTGATTTTTCGCGCGAATTCACCGATTAATTATACATTGAACTGGGTCTACCCCCTAAATGATCCGGAATGGTGCCAAACTTTGCCAAATGGTCTATGGTGCCCTAGGAGACAAATATTTGTGGAGGTTGATGCAAAATTATATTGTTTTCAATATGTAATTCACCGTATTTCGTCTCACGCGGCACAAAGAAAAATATAATAATAAAAATAATTATCAGAAAAACATAAGATCTTGTGTGGGGCCATATTTTGGGTGTAAATGACTTCAAAAATAAATTCAAGCCATTTCTACATAGGCGGAGTCAACGTGCTTTACAGAGGTATATAGAACCTTTCGTCGAACCCTATCTGTACACCTGGGTTCTCTGGGATTGTGAGGTCCATGTGCTTTCTAGTGTCGGATTGGGCTGAGACTTTTTCTCAAGACTTCAAATTCCTTATGTGTAGCCACCACCAAGTTTGAGATTTTTCTGAGGTGGTTTGGTACTTTTTTCACTTTAATTGAATTTTTGCGCGAATTCACCGATTAATTATATATTGAACTGGGTCCACCCCCTAAATGATCCAGAATGCTGTCAAACTTTGCCAAATGGTCTATTGTGCCCTAGGAGACAAATATTTGTGGAGGTTGATGCAAAATTATATTGTTTTCAA